CCCCAAAACCCCAAAACCCCAAAACCCCAAAACCCCAAAATAAGAGATTAGGAATATAAATTCTAAAAATAATTATACTAGAAATCATAAAAATGCTATGTTTTCTAATGTGTTTTTATAACACTACTTGTGTCAAGGTTGCCTTAATTATCTTTAGCATACTTACGATGGTATTATTAAATATTGATATTTACATATATTTTAAAGCTTGCAGGAGGTGCCAATATATGGTTAGGATTTTAAATAAAAACATCAACTTTATGGAATTCGATGACAGGAGATCTAAATGATGGAACTGATTATCAAGGTTTGACTTTCTCTCTAGTCTTAGCTATTGCTTCCTTTACTGTTGCAGTTGGTATACTTGGTATAATTACATCCAAGTTTCCAAATAAAATCTGCGTTTGCATGGTAATATTCTTATTATTTTTTATAATACAACCCTAGTTTTCTACTTTTTCATTTATGAGTTTTGCATTTTTCACAGGTGTTGGAATTCTATTTATGCTATCATACAGTATATGTGTTAATTTCATAAATATTTAGAAAGTGGGAATGACATTGTTGATACCTACTGTAATGGTGGATTTCCAACATACAATAATTTGATTAAAGACTTAGTGATCAAGATGGATGATGTTTAATAAAAATACATAGACAAATATATGTGCTCGCCATATTGTGCCTGCCCTAAGGTAAATGCTACAAATTGGGGATTACGTTACATGGAATTGAATTCAAGAAATTTTACAGGAAATGTTACAACTTTTGAAAGTTGTTATAACACAATTTAAAAGAGAGGAATTGTACCAACTTTAAGTACTGGTTTGCTTCAATTTATTAAAGAATTAGAATCCAGTTATAGTTGTCTGGGATTATGCTAGAAGCCTCTATTCTGGTTTTACAATGATGTTACTCTGTAAATCTTTTATTTTAATTTTAATAAAGAGGATTACCCAAATATTCATGCAAAAGTACAGTTAAAGATCTATTCGAAAGTGGATTATAGAATGTAGGAATTGGATTTTTAATTACAGGAGGCGTGATATTCTTGGCATTTAATGCATAGTACGGTCTTTGGTTTAGAGGGCCAAAATGAGAATTACTTTGTAAATTTATTATTTTGATTTTATTAATTCAAATTTCTTCTAAAAAAGGAATATTAATTTATGGGGTTTTGGGGTTTTGGGGTTTTGGGG